CCTGCTGTGTTATGTTTTGAGGAGTCTCTAAGTGAATCTAGGATGTACTCAAATGTGAGAACCACCAAGACCTTGTCCTAGAACCAGTTACTTGGCAGCTCAGGTTGGCCTTGTTTTTAGGCACGTTTTGTTTGTTTTTCTGTTTTTGGTTTTTGTTTTGTTTATCCTAACCTCTCACTGGGGGATTCTAGGCAGGCACTCTACCACTGAGTTATACCCCCAGCCCTTCACCTAGGATTCTAAGAAAGTGATGAACTACCGAATCACAATCTCCCCAAACCCCTCACTGGGAGAGTCTGGGACGGCACTGTACTACTGAACCACACTCCCCCAAACCCCTCACTGGGGGATTCTAGGAAGGTACTATAGTACTGAACCCATTCCTCCAAGCCTGGCACTGGGGGATTCTAAATAGGCATACTCCCACCGAGCTGTGCCCCCAGCCCAGCCTTGGTTTTAGAAATGTCAAAGCAGCTTTCCTGTCCTCCATGCTCAAGTTCAGCCCTTGTTTCTCTGAGTCTGCCACCAAGAGGCTTCACTCTCTGGGCTTCGACTCTAAGCTGAGAATGAAGTATGGCCCTCAGCTATGTGAGGGTGAGTGGCATTGGCATCTGTCACATTCCTCCAGGTCAGAACCCTAGGCAGACTGGTGTACAGTACCCAGAAACTGATTCTTGGAGTATTTCTTCTAGTTTTGTATCTGTGAACAATTGGACAGCAAGCTGGAGCCAGCAGAGATTCAGAGTCCTGGCTGTCTAACTCGGCCTCAGCACCTGATCAGCCCAGGGAAGAGCCCACCCAGGAAGCCATATCCCATCCCATCATCAGTCCCTGAGCTCTCAGCCAGCAGTGGAAGGCACTTTTCTCTGGGTCTAGTCAGAATTCACAGTGGAAGAATTCTGTGTTCCCAGAGCCTAACAGGTGACTGGGGTATATAGTAGGTGCTCAGTAAATGTAGTGTTGCTCAGCCAGCAAGGACTGCCCTAATAAGCAGGAAAAAGGCCGTCAAAGCTCTAGGAAATTCTCTTGTGCCTCATCAGAAGCCTCTGATGTAATCTGCTGCTGGCATATCTTAGCATGATGCACACAAAGCCCTTCAGAACCCCAAACCCTTGTGGCTGCCATAGGCAGACAGTAAGGGGAGCAGAGAGGGTCAGCTGGGTTGGTGGTTAATGCTCCCCATACCACTTTACCACCACGAGCCTCTTTGAGTGCTCTGAGCTCATTTGTCCTGTACAGTGGGGTCCTCTTTACCCGGAATTTATGCTGTCAAGGTTCAGTAAGACAGTGTAAGCAAAGCGCGTGGAAGAACATTCAGTGGCTCTTGGGCTTCCTCTTCTTGTTCCCTCTGTCGGGAACTTGGTTACTCTGGTTCCTGTACATAGAGGCTTGGCATTTTGAAACTCTGCCACCTTGAGGCATTTGCTCTAGAAAATCGCTTTGAAGATGGGTGAGCTGTGAGCATGTAGCTGTTCGAGTTGAAAACAAGTGGTGATGAGATGCAGCTGGGAGCCCTTGGGCCTTCTTGAGCCATGCAGGGCTTGAGCTTGGGTAGTCATCACTAGACCTGCTCTTCAACCTGAAGGAGAATGCTGACTGAATTTGTTTCCTGACCAGAGCAGCCTTGATGTCAAGGTACTCTTGTGATAGTTCCTTGTATTTTTTTGTGTTTCATAGCTTTGCAGGTTAATAGGTGCAGAGAACACTTAGTATTACTGTTTGGAAGAGGAACATTGAATGTGGATAGCATTTTAACTTTTTGAAAGCATTCTCTGCACCTTTTTATTACATCCCTGTAAAAACCCTGTGAGTTGGCTGGTTCTTTGCATGTTGTTTTGTGAGGAAACCTAAGACCCTACTGTGTACTCTTGGAACATTATAGCCAATACTAGCTCCAGGCTTCTTGACATCTAGAGCTCTTCCTGCTCTTCTCAGAGGCCCCAGGTAGAGGTGGGGAGCAAATTCATAAACTCCTCTAGTCTGGGACTTGAGAAGTAGCTCAGTCAATGTAAGCACGAAGACCTGAATTCAGTCCCCAAAACGCACATAAGCTGAACATTAGTGATGCACACTTGTAATCCCAGCCCTGGGGCTCACTGGCTGGCCAGCCAGCCTAGTCTGTTTGGTGAGTTCCAGACTAGTCAGAGACCCTGTCCCAAAAACCAAAGCAGCTGGTGAACAAATGATAGCTAAAGTTGTGTTGTAGCTGCAGGTGAACATTTCCTTCAGTCAAGCCTGGTTTCCTCCTTATAGCCTGTAGGCAGTGAGAAATGTTCCTCTCACCCTGGGAATGCCAGTTGGATTGCATTAGGATTTTATAATACCCTTTAGCCTGGTGCCAAAGGCCCTCTGTACATATGACTTTTCATCATTTATTCAGTCTTCGCCTTTGCTGTGGCTGATACCCACTCTGAACATTTGTAAGAAGCCACAGGAGAGCAGGAAGTAGCTGTCTCTTGGCTCAGGAAGGATCTGAATGGCCCTGAGCTCTGTATCACCCCCAGTTGAAGGGCACATACCACCCTGTTAGGATGCTAGCATCCAGCTTTGAAGTCTCAAGAGGGAGGTGCTGGGTGGGATTTAAGATGATTTGGTGGGTATAAAAGCACTTGCCTCACAAAGCCTGATAACCTGAGTTTGAATCCCCAGAATCCACGGTGGAAGTGCTCTATAATCCTAGTGTTCCTACTGTGTGATAGGTGGTGGAGACAGAATTTCCCAGAAGCTCACAGGCCAGCTAGCCGGGAGTACACAGCTCAACAGCAGAAACAAGAGAGACCCTGCCTCAACAAGGTGGAAGGCAAACACCGACTCCCAAAAATTGTTCTCTAACCTCCACATGTGTTCTATTACACTCATGCTGACCCCCCCACACACACACAGATAGATGCTGGGAGGGGTTAGTGGAGACTCTTAACAGAACTTGGTTGTGTTCATTCAAGCCTGTGTTGGTGTGAGCCATAGCTTGGCAAGCGCTCTACAGCTAAACTATGATACCAGCTTAAAGATAAGAATTCAATAGTTAGGCCAACTATGGTGGCTCCCACCAGTAATCCCAGCCCTCAGGGAGCCATGGAAGGAAGATTGTGAGTTTTGGCCTACATAGCAAGATCCTGCCTGAAAATAGGCAAACATGCCGGGCATGGTGGCACATGCCGTTGATCCCAGCGCTCAGGAGGCAGAAGCAGGCAGATCTCTGTGAGTTCAAGGCCAGCCTGGTCTACGTGGCAAGTTCCAGGCCAGCTGGGGCTACAGGGAGACTGTCTCAAAAAGATTAAAAAAAAAAAAAAGGCAAACATTTAAAATTGCAACTCTAGAAGTTCAGTTTTTGATAATGTGGTAATTGACAACTGTGAACTAGGTACCCTTCATTGGCTTTTTATATTCATGTACTAACTGATGGCTAAGATTCTAAGGGAGCTGGGGTGTAGCTCAGGTAGAGCATTCGCCTACTATATTCAAGGCCCAGACTTTATCCCCAGTATAGAGAGAAGAAAAAACAAAAGAGTCTGAAAGTTAAAGCCATTTAATCTGTTGTCCTTATGGGAAGTTCATTTAGAAAAGGCAGTTTTTACTTGTCAAAGTATCTGTGTTTTTTGTTTGTTTGCTGTGGGGAGCAGAGGACAACCTCTCGTGTAGTTCCTAGGGCACTGTCCATCTTGGCCTGCAACTTGCCAAGTAGCCAGTGTGCTCCACTCTTCATGAAACCTGGCTCTCCCTGCCTGGCTTTTAAAAGTGGATTCTATGGATGGAACCCAGGTCCCCATGCTTGCAAGGCATTTGCCTTACTGACTGAGCCATCCATCTCCCCACCCATTAAACTGGTTTTAAAAAACTAACTTGTTCTTAATATGACTCCTGTAAGTAAATTGCTCTGCATCCTGACAGTGTACTCCACTTCACCCTCGGGAGGTAGAGTGGGAAGAGATGAGAGTGACTTGAAAGCACAGGGGATGAGGCACAGATTGGTTGGGATGCCTAAAGTTGTAGCTTAATATATAAAGGAGACTATTTTTAGCTCAGATTGTAAAGAAAATAGACAATTTCCGTATTTTAGAATTCTTAGTCAGTTTAAAAATACTAAAGGCTCATGCCTTTCATCCCAGCACTTGGGAGATAGAGGCAGAGGCAGGTGGATCTCTGTGAGATTGAGGCTAGCCTGTCTCCATAGGGTGTTCCAGGTCAGCTAGGGTTATAGGAAGACCCAGTCTTGAAAAAGAAAGAGGTGGGGCCGGAGAGATGGCTCAGCGGTTAAGAGCACTGACTGCTCTTACAGAGGACCCAGGTTTGATTTCCAGCACCCACATGGCAGCTACGAACTGTCCTTAATTCCAGGGGAATTAGAAGCCCTCTTCTGACCTCCGCTGGCATTGCATGACACGGGTGCACTCACTTAACATGCAGGCAATATACGCGTACCCATAAAATAAAAATAATAATAAAGTATTTTTTTAAAAAGAACATGCAGGGCGTGGTGGTGCACACCTTTAATCCCAGCACTTGGGAGGCAGAGGCAGATGGATCTCTGTGAGTTCAAGGCCAGCCTGGTCTACATAATGAGTTCCAGGACAGCTGGGGCTACAGGGAGACCCTGTCTCAAAAAGACA